TAGAAATGATGGAGCAGCTTTATAGAGAATAAGCTGCTGAAAATGCTGATACTGGGATGATGTAGCTGCAGCAGCTGCAGGCCCATAGTAAGGCTATGGGGGATGTCACTTCCAGGGTGTTGTCTGTTCTCTCCTACACACAGCATCCGCCGATGGAGACCGGACCAGATTGACTTCAGAAAAGGAATGCATAACTATTTATTTTTACAAGCCTAGATAGATTAGGTTTAGAATGTGGTGGCCAGTAGGAATAGAGTTAGTCAGGATTTGGCTGAACTTCCACTTTAGATCAACTAATTTAATTTGAAATGAGACCTACAATTTGAATGGAATCTCAGACTTCTCAAATAGGCTTCATTAGATGTATGATTTTTCCCAAATACAAACCACATTCACATTTAGAAATTTGCTTGTTTGGGATAAGAAAAAAAATGAATCCCGCTCTTAGAATTTTCTTATCACTACAGCTGAAAACGATTGTTGATTCGACCCATCTAACCAGTAGAAAATTGAATGAACGTCCAGAAAACGGAAGATTCCAAAGGAAATCCTACTGGTGTATGGCCAGCATTAGTCCAACGATCTCGTCACAGGAGTTCACAACACTAACTTCCAGCATTCACAGGATAAAGAGGTGTTTATTGAGCTTTAGCACAGGCTGTGCTTAGGATTAGCAGACAAGTCAGCAAGCATTATTTGTGCCAGCTTGCAATTCAGTGTGCTAACTACTGCAAAGCCTCTTGTTCATCGCTATTGTGTGAGACTCTTGCCAACTGACATAGCATTCTTTTTGTCTAATGCTTCTGACCATAAAAGGAGACAGTTCAGCTCTAACTTTTACTCTGTAATTTGACATTCATCATGAGAAAATAGAACAGGCAAAAATAAAGAGAACAGAGAGCACACCACACTTGTGCTTCTTAAATTTCAGTGGCCCATTCAAAATTAGAATGTGTTTTAGGCAGCCTTCTACCTCAGTAGTGAGATATCTATTTTGAATTCCCAGGTCTGCACACCTACCCTAGTAATTATCAGGAATTCCTTCTACATGGAGAATACACCAGGAGTGGGATCACCTATTTAGTTGCAAGTGGTGTAAGACTCCAACGCGTGGATAGGTCACAGAAGGCAGCTGAAGTCTTCAAAAGATGTATAAGGCAAGTCAATTATAGAGCTGCTTGAATAACTGAAATTCACTTTTGGGTGGATTAACCCTTTAAGTGATTCACATGACCACAAAGCAGTGTATAAAATACAACAGTGGTTTCAGCATCTATAAGGATATCCTGCATGAGCAATCTCTGAGGATGAACATCTGTTGCTGTTAGGCCAAGAATGATTGATGCATCAAGTTATACATTTTGAAACTCAAGATTTTTCCTTCTGGCCCAAGGAATCATCTACATATCCAGCCAAATAGTCTGATAATACAACTCCAAGATTCATCCTTAGTAATTAACATGAACCACCAAAGCCTATCCGTCCCTTTAGGTTTTCTATCATCTTCAAGATGAATGGAAATGTGTTTGCCTAAATATTACTGTAAAGATATTTTTTCTAAGCAATATAATACACCGTAACGCTGACTACATAAAACAGTTTTGATGCCACTCTTAAAAGGACTGGACGCCATTTGCACTTCACATGTGACAGGTTCACTATGACACTGTAAACTGGAATATTACCCTGTGAATAAGTAGAAGATTTTCAATTCGCTAAGCACTGTGTATCAAGCAACTAGCATTGTTTCATAAAATCCTGCTATTATTTTATCATCTGTTAATTTCAGTGCTGCTGCTCTCCACCAGCTTCTTCAGCCACTTCCTGTCTATATACACATCATTGCCTAGGACCAGATTCCTTTTAATGACAATGGTAAGCCATACCTCTACAATGTGCAGTCATTTATGGCTGCTTGTACTCTCCAATGGGATGCATTTTACAGGTTAGAAAAAACCAGTACAATTAAAAGACAGTAGTCGCCCCATAACAGGGGCCTGAACATAGACTTACCTTCATGCGGGATTAAATGTGTTTTTTATGTTTGTTTGGTTTTTTTTTTTAATTGAAAGTGGTATAATTGAAAATACATTTTTTTTTAAATCATATTAACTAAAGCTTATATTAGATTTTAGTGATTGGCTTCTTTAACCATTTCCCCCCGGAAGGTTTTACCCCTTCATGACCAGACAATTTTTTTTTGCTATGCGCTACTTTAACTGGCAATTTATTTTGTTGGTATTTGATCAACACTGGGTTTTTTTATATTATAAATGAACTCAGAGAAATTGATTTTACAGTGAGTGACAAAAACACGTTCATTGATGGATACAGCTCTTCTGAATCTTGACCATAGGGATGTTCCAAAGCAGTGCCTCAAGGGGTGGGCAAACCAAAAAAACAACTGGAAAAACCAGGCAAACATGCCAACTGCCCAAACAACCCCTAAAAAGGGGTAGAGACAAGGAGCCATATGCGGCAGGCTGAAAAACCTTACAGACAAGCCAAGTATCCAAAAAGACCAACATTGGAAATGGGTGTAAAAGTGAGCGCAGACCACTAGGTAGAAGTCTCACAAACCAGGTAGCAGTTTCACAAACCTGAGATACAGGTGCCAGATGGCAAAAAAAACCAAACACAAAACACAGGAGGCAGGAGCATACTGCAACGGGGAAGGGCGTAGCCCGCCCCTTAACATTTCCCGCCGAAACAGTCATCTGCCAGACCCAACAGGATTTTGTGGGAAAAGAGGCCACCAAGCCTTCTGTTGGGCCATCCACAAGCATCAAAAGGGAAAGTGACCTCCGGCAGGAGGACACGGTGGATAGGCACACACAAACCACCTGGACCACATCCAAGAAGTGCAATTCAACCCCCTCAGGATGTGATGGCAGTGGACACAAGGAAAGCAGGACAATGCTCTCAGATAGGAAGTCCAACACCACCGTCGGTAGAAAGAAGCACCAATGAAGAACCACCCTATCCATCTGTACAACCAAATAGGGAGGAATTACAAGAGACGAAACCAGCGCAGACATCCACCTCACAAATGAACCAATTTCAAGTCTCATGGTGGTAACATGGAACATACGGGCGGTGCCAGATGGCTAATTCCTTGAAGAAAAGTGTGGAAGTGCGCAGCCAAGGATGCTGAAACAAGACAGCGAGAGCAGAAACCCTGGTTGCATAAAAGGTACTCGAGGCAGAAATTCATTTAGTGCCTCATATTAAAGAAAGGCTGCTACCAAGCAGGGTCATGAAAGGACACCCAGGGCCGTTCACCAGGCAATGTAAGCGCTCTAGGCAAAATGAGGCATCCTTCAAGAGACATACCTGCAAGTCATCAACATTGTGGGGAACAGCCCTGTGGTCCACAAAAACTGACTTGGAAAAGCCATGACCCCAAAGCCAGAGACGGTAATGCAGGAAGGGAAACCGAACCCTGGGACAGGCCACAACAATACCAGTGCATTTGTTGCATCCACCATGGGTTTTGCACATACACCACAATCGTGGCACCTCCCAGGTGAGGAAGAACGCTAGAAGATTCACGTCTGGGGTTCCCAGCAAAAGCGAGCCAACCTGGTGGATGACATGGGCCACTGCAGCAGCATCATCACATTGAATCCTAACCAGGAGCCCCCGGAGAAGATTTATCCAATGCTCCAGAGAGAACCCAGATGCTCACAGCTCCAGGGCCTTAATCTCAAACTCAGGACTCCTCCCACATGCACACACACACCAAACCAAAAGGGGACGGCCACTGTATCTTGGGCCCCTGAGGTATCCTCCCCTGTTAATGTACCCAGCAATCAATTCAACACCAAGAGAAGCGGGGGTTAATACCCGCTCCACATGGCCCTCACAGCTTTCGGTCCAATAAACAGCCTGGGAAGGGGGGGAAGGTGGTCGCTACATAGCAGTGTCCCAATGCACCCCCTCTGAACTAGTTTGGGGGGCTGCCATCTATCCAGAAAACGGATATGGCTCCCAGACGGGAAGGGGGAGGGGGGGGTGGCAGGGAAAACAGAACACAGACACACAGATCATCAACCCTCCCCCCTGGACATGGGAGCTTTAAAAGACAGGTGTAAGGTAAACAGGGAAAAAACCCACACCAATTCACCCCAGGATGTATAGGGGGAAAGAGGGGAGAAACAGACCCTGGGAGGGGAGAAGGCGAACCCTAAAGGGACCGGCAAATCAGGGGAGTACCCACATCCCATAAGCACCTGGAAAGAGGCATCTACTTACCGATTCACAGAGGTTGCGGGTAACACTCTCAAGACAGATCCACCTCGCCACCGAAGTGGAGGGTTGTTGGCCTATGTAACACTGTCGCATGGACTCTGGCACCCTCCCACTCAAATGTGTCCCCACAAGGTACTTAACTCACTGGCCGTCCCGGTCAAGGATAGGGCATGTCGCGGCAGACTCAGCGTTTAGCTAAAGGTCTGTGTGCGCTTGCTGGTCAGACTGGGGTGACCACTGGATCTATATCATCCAGCCCATCGCCCAGTTCAGCTGTTGATTGATGATCTCCACAGGTAAAAAAAAAACAGGAAAAAAAGGAGAAAAAAAAAAAAAGACTATGGAACCAGAGGTACCAGCAGGGAGCTAGGTCACTACTTCTGAACACTAGGCAGAAAAAACTGGATTGCCTATAGCAGAGAGGGGTTTTTATGCCAGCTAAGACTGCCCATAAAAGTGCTGAGTTCTTTCCTGCCTGGTGTCCTACTCCTGTAGGTGGCAATATAACCCTATGGTCAAGATTCAGAACAGCTGTGTCCATCAAAGAACGAAAGAGAAATCAAAATTCTTCATAAATTGAGGCCAAAATGTAAGAAAGGCCAACTGACTGGTTGCAGGGCACAAACTGAAATTCATAACTGGATAAGATCCAAAAACCAATAGTTATTTGCAAAGCATACATTTGTATCCTCTCTGCAGTCATCTTTGCCAGCAAACAGTATATTCGGTAAAAAATATAAAATACCTACCTGTTCCATGGCAATAGCAATCTGCCTACGATGCCCCCTGCCATAAGAAAACAGATGATCCACTTCTTCCATTGTTAACTTAGGCACATTACTGATCCCCAAATAACAGTCTTGGTCATTCTTCTTACTGGCTACTTTCTTGCCCTAGAGAAAAGACATCCATTGAAATATTCATGTAACTGTGTGAAAAGTTATTGCCCAGATCCAGCCAAAACATTGTTTGGAAAACACTGTTCAATGATAGTTTTGAAAATTGTCATTGAACAGTATTTTTCTGTAAATGAACTACACTCGAAATCAATCTCTCAAGCTGATCACTTTTGGGTTCATCTTTATAATCCTGTTTTGTAAGTAACAGTGGGCCATGTGTACTATAGTGCAATCCTCACTAAAGTGGAGCCAAATTTGAGCTTTCAGAGAACAGGGGTATAAAAACCAACCAAGTGAGAAGCTCTAAATCCATTTTTTTTTTTCAACTCATGGATTTGTACCATTATTGCGAGCAGACACAGGCCAGTGATGGGCTTATAAGTCATGACACTGATGCCTGTGGGAACTATGTGCTGGCCACAGAGCAGTTGGCAAGGACACTACTAGGGAATCTATAAAGCTAGGCTGTACAGGTTAATATAGCTTTAGATGAAGAGCACCCCCTAAACTCAGTGTTAGGTCTTCATTTTTACAATCTAAGGGAGTGATAGTTTGATTCCTTTTCTCCAAGTCCATGGAGCTTGGTGTTTAAATATTCTTTTGTTGGATAACCACATTAAAAAAAATTAGCAAATCCATCACGTGTTCAGTTTTGACATACTGACAGATCTGTGTAAGGAGGAAAACAAGAGGGCGCCACTAAGTGCAGTATTTAAAACAATTTTAATAAATCATCAGTATTGCATTCACATGGTTCCAAAAGCTAAAACGCTTGTAAGCATAATAAAATTCAGCATTAGGATCAGGACCACTCCCAAGATGGCACATCAGCAGTGGTGTAGAGGGCTGAAACCAGGCAGGACCGGAGGACAAGCTGCACTTCACTAGGAGACACCAATTACCGGGATAGTCATAGGACATGGAGCTGGAAGTAATGTCAGAAAAAAACTGTGGACCACTCGACTGGAAGTGGCAACAGAGAAGGTTATTTGACTAAGGAGCCGATTGGTGCTCTGAAACACGTTACCAAGGTTAAGAATCCACCCTCCTCTGACACCAATTCAGGTAATCAGAATCTCCCAGTGAAGTGTGGCTTGTCCACAGGTCCTGCCTGGTTCCAGCCCTCTACACCGCTGCTGATGTGCTATCTTGGAGTGGTCCTGATCCTAATCTAGCAGTTTCCCTATAGTTCTGCTTTACAATACAAGCATTATTAACTCGTAACCAGGCAAAAAAAACTGCTATGTGTCCTGGTGATAAATGTAAACTGCAAGTTTGTTATTGAAAGGTATTGGTGTATAAATACAGCAACCATAGGTTGCCCAGGCATGGGTCCGGCTCAGTTCTAAAGGCTGTTCAGGACTTCCAAATGTTTTAAGAATACCAAAAATCACTTTTTCTATTTTTTTAAATATTTGACCACAAAAAAAACAAAAAAAAACAAAAAGATGTTTTGTGCACAACCATAAGAAATACATACTTGTTCCATGGCAATTGCAATCTGCATACGACGTCCTCTACCAAAGGTAAATAGATGGTCCACTTCTTCCACAGTCAAATTAGGTGCTTTGTTTGTTACTAGTATACAGTCTTGGTCAATCTTTTTAGTGACTACTTTCTTGCCCTGCAAAAGAGAAAACCATCGCAGATACTAATAGTGTACAAACATCACAGTAGTGCCAAAAACAAGCTATCAATTACTAGGAAGGGGCTTAAGAAGAAAGTAATGGGGACATTAACTTAGTTTAAATCACAAAGACAAAGACAGAATTTCTGTTAGGTATGTAGAGATCGCATATACTGTACTAAGAAAAGAGAAAAGTTGATTTCCTTTAAATTGTCCACTTCAATATCCAATGTTGTCCTGGCTTGTCACATACACCACCTGGAGCCTACCAATACTGGAATCTGCATTCCACTTCCTTCTCCTGTTCTGCAATGCTGCCAAGTATCACTCCAATCACATACAAGACAACAGGTCAATACACAGTCACATATCAGTTCATTCCAATTAAGGATTCCAAAGAACATCTGTAATTGCTATGCAAAAGTAAACATGTGATGCTATATTATAGTGGCATTAGCAAGGCTAGGACCCAAAAACAACAAAATCCAACCCTGTAGAAAGGGATAACATGTCTAGCTTTTTCTGTTTTCTACCCTGGGCTCTTAGAGGGTTGAAAGGAGAAAAACTAAACATGCTTTCAAAAACACAATAGAGGCACAAATAACCTTACCACATCATATATATCATGCAACATTTAGAAAAAGAAAAGCAATATGCATCTATTAGCAATACAATAAAAAAGCTAACCTCAACGTTACTGTCCACTGTAACGGCAAGCTGCATTTCTTTTCCTACATGCACAGTTAAGCTTTGCTCATCTTTGCTGTCAGAGATATTCCAGTTCTCACTTACAACTCTTTTGTCCTACAAAAGCAAGAAAACAAAAAAGTTAGGTCAATAAATCTGTCTTCCATTTTGAAAACATGGTAAATATTCATGATGGATCGGAGTGACATGGAGCATTTATTTTTGGTGTGATTTAAGCTAAGAATTAGTGAGGAATCAATACTGCTTAGAAAAATTCCCAATCTAGCTGGTGAACAAAGGCTTTTACTGAATGCACTATTTTCTTGACCACAAGGGTGTTCCCCCTTCTTCTTACTTTGTGATCTCTTGAGATGCCCCCCTTTGAAAGTTTCCACTTGCAACAAATTCTTCACGTTCTCCGCTCTTTACAGAAAACAAGCCCTCACCTCACAGTGTGTTCAATGTTTGAAAACAGATGTTTTTGGGGAGACTCAATAGCGGGTTTGCATATCAATGTTGTACAAACTACTCTGGCATCTAAGCTTTCCTATCAAATGACGGAGAATATACAAATCCCAAGCAATACAGAAAGCAGATCATAAAAGATTTTTTCAGCATCAGAACTATTTTGAGAAAGGGGAAAGTACTGGCCGCCTACTGGCAGTCATATCTAGGTCCCAATTAGACCCTATTCAGGGGCAGACTGACCATTTGGAAACTCGGGCACTGCCCGAGGGCCTGGGGTCAGTAGGGGGCCTCATGAAATGCCCCTGGTACCTTTTTCATAGGCTTTTTTGAGTTTGGGCAAGGACACAGGGGCCTCATGATCCCCTATTGCCCGGGGGCCCCATGAGTTGTCACTCTGCCCCTGACCCTATGGTCGTTATTTCAGTGGTTAATGCTCAGGAGGAGACCATTACAGATACAGCGGGTATTTGAATTGCTTCAAAGACATTTACTAGGATCTCTAGAATATTAAACTTGAAGCCCATTCTGTGCCAGTGGCTACATGCTTACATGGCCTCTCTATCCCTAAACTGACCGTAGAGGAGAGGCGTAAATTGCCTCTTAGAGGCAAAATTAAAGGTGCCATCCTTTTTGAAGTGAGTTTCATGTATAAATATAACCTCTGCCCCCGAGGATCAATTGGCATCATAGGTAGACCTCAACTATGAGAGACAAAATGAGAAAAAAAAATCCAGACAATCACAATGGCTGATTTGGAAAGAATTTATTTGCAAATTATGGTGGAAAATAAGTATTTGGTCAATATCAAAAGTTCATCTCAATACTTTGTTATATATCCTTTGTTGGCAATGACAGAGGTCAAACGTTTCCTGTAAGTCTTCACAAGGTTGGCACACACTGTTGCTGGTATGTTGGCCCATTCCTCCATGCAGATCTCCTCTAAAGCAGTGATGTTTTGGGGCTGTCGCTGGGCAACACGGACTTTCAACTCCCTCCAATGGTTTTCTATGGGGTTGAGATCTGGAGACTGGCTAGGCCACTCCAGGACCTTGAAATGCTTCTTACGAAGCCACTCCTTCGTTGCTCGGGCGGTATGTTTGGGATCATTTCCATGTTGGAAGACCCAGCCATGTTTCATCTTCAATGCCCTTGCTGATGGAAGGAGGTTTGCACTCAAAATCTCACGATACATGGCCCCATTCATTCTGTCCTGTACATGGATCAGTCGCCCTGGTCCCTTTGCGGAGAAACATCCCCAAAGCATGATGTTGCCATCCCCATGCTTCACAGTAAGTATGGTGTTCTTTGGATGCAACTCAGCATTCTCTCTCCTCCAAACACGACGAGCTGTGTTTCTACCAAACAGTTCTATTTTGGTTTCATCTGACCATATGACATTCTCCCAATCCTCTTCTGGATCATCCAAATGCTCTCTAGCAAACTTCAGACGGGCCCGGACATGTACTGGCTTAAGCAGGGGGACACGTCTGGCACTGCAGGATCTGAGTCCCTGGCGGCGTAGTGTGTTACTGATGGTAGCCTTTGTTACGTTGGTCCCAGCTCTCTGCAGGTCATTCACTAGGTCCCCCCGTGTGGTCCTGGGATTTTTGCTCACCGTTCTTGTGATCATTTTGACCCCACGGGCTGAGATCTTGCGTGGAGCCCCAGATCGAGGGAGATTATCAGTGGTCTTGTATGTCTTCCATTTTCTAATTATTGCTCCCACAGTTGATTTGTTCACACCAAGCTGCTTGCCTATTGCAGATTCAGTCTTCCCAGCCTGGTGCAGGTCTACAATTTTGTTTCTGGTGTCCTTCGACAGCTCTTTGATCTTCACCATAGTGGAGTTTGGAGTGTGACTGTTTGAGGTTGTGGACAGGTGTCTTTTATACTGATAACAAGTTCAAACAGGTGCCATTGATACAGGTAATGAGTTCAGGACAGAGGAGGCTCTTAAAGAAGAAGGTACAGGTCTGTGAGAGCCAGAAATCTTGCTTGTTTGTAGGTGACCAAATACTTATTTTCCACCATAATTTGTAAATAAATTCTTTCCAAATCAGCCAATGTGATTGTCTGGATTTTTTTTTCTCATTTTGTCTCTCATAGTTGAGGTCTACCTATGATGCCAATTACAGGCCTCTCTCATCTTTTTAAGTGGGAAACTTGCACAATTGGTGGCTGACTAATTACTTTTTTGCCCCACTGTATGCATGTAATCCACTGTTACTTTTGAACTTATATGCTCCCAACCTTGGTCAACTAGTGAAAAACAAATTGTCCCTAATGCTTTGTCCTGTGCCCTGCCTGCATTTTTACTGTTCTTTCTGCCTGGAAACTGAGAAACGTCCATGGCGTACAAAAAGCGTCCCTTTAGGTCAAAAGCGGTTTTAGACCAGCTAGAGAACAGCGATAGTAAATTAGAACCACTTGCAGAATTGAGTGATGGGAAATTTGTCATCAGACACTGAAAATGATTTTGCGACTTTGCTCAATGATGTGCAAACTTTGCGCTCAATTTTAAATTTCAGTGTTTTTGGTTTGATTATTGAATTAAATGTATTAATATATTATTTTTTATGATTTTTTATTAAATTATAATTTATGATTTCATGTTTCAAATTGTAACATACTGGGGATGTTTACTAGACTCTTGTTTGGACAGATTTCAGTGAGTTATTCCTAAAAATGACAGCCCTACAATAAAAAAAATACATATTTCCATGCAAAAATATGCACCGCTTTGAGCACAGAAATATGGACATAATCAGACCGCTAGGGAGGTTAATTGCAATGCCTTATAGCAAGCTCCTATAGCAAGCTGCAAAGTATAGTATATCAAGGTAACTATAGCAAGGTAAAAAAAAACTTCTGCCTTTAGGCTCCATTCACACTTGTGCAACTTCATAATCGTGTGACTTTACAGAGCGAATTGATGCAACTTTAAAGTGACTATGGATGAGTGTGACTTTGAGCAAAGATAATTGTTTCTGCTGTACAAAGTCGCACACAAGTCGCATGTGCAACATTCATGTGCGACTTTGGAGGGTTTACATTGAAGTCTATGGCCCTCAAGTTGCATGAAATTCAGACCAAAGTAGTGCAGGAACTATTTTGAAGTCGCACAGATATAAATGGTTCCCATTGGGAAACATGGGGAGGGCGAGTTGTCATGCGACTTGGGACCAGAAAATCACATGACAAGTCACATAATGTGAATGGAGTCTTAGAATCACTTAATGCCTTCTGTCAAGAGCTACATGCCCCATGAGGCATTGCTCCTCACACACTCACAGGCACTTACTGACATGTATGAACAGTGTACTGAGCTGTATGTGTGCTGCACTGTGTATACTGACATTTATGAACAGTGTACTGAGCTGTATGTGTGCTGCACTGTGTATACTGACATTTATGAACAGTGTACTGAGCTGTATGTGTGCTGCACTGTGTATACTGACATTTATGAACAGTGTACTGAGCTGTATGTGTGCTGCACTGTGTATACTGACATTTATGAACAGTGTACTGAGCTGTATGTGTGCTGCACGGTCTATACTGACATGTATGAACAGTGTACTGAGCTGTATGTGTGCTGCACGGTGTATACTTACATGTATGAACAGTGTACTGAGCTGTATGTGTGCTGCACTGTGTATACTGACATTTATGAACAGTGTACTGAGCTGTATGTGTGCTGCACTGTGTATACTGACATTTATGAACAGTGTACTGAGCTGTATGTGTGCTGCACTGTGTATACTGTCATTTATGAACGGTGTACTGAGCTGTATGTGTGATGCGCTGTGTGTACTGAGCTGTATGTGTGCTGCACTGTGTATACTGACATTTATGAACGGTGTACTGAGCTGTATGTGTGCTGCGCTGTGTATACTGACATTTATGAACGGTGTACTGAGCTGTATGTGTGCTGCGCTGTGTATACTGACATTTATGAACAGTGTACTGAGCTGTATGTGTGCTGCGCTGTGTATACTGACATGTATGAACAGTGTACTGAGCTGTATGTGTGCTGCGCTGTGTATACTGACATGTATGAACAGTGTACTGAGCTGTATGTGTGCTGCACGGTCTATACTGACATTTATGAACGGTGTACTGAGCTGTATGTGTGCTGCACGGTGTATACTCACATTTATGAACGGTGTACTGAGCTGTATGTGTGCTGCACTGTGTATACTTACATGTAAGAACAGTGTACTGAGCTGTATGTGTGCTGCACGGTCTATACTGACATGTATGAACAGTGTACTGAGCTGTATGTGTGCTGCACTGTCTATACTGACATGTATGAACAGTGTACTGAGCTGTATGTGTGCTGCACTGTCTATACTGACATGTATGAACAGTGTACTGAGCTGTATGTGTGCTGCACTGTGTATACTGACATGTATGAACAGTGTACTGAGCTGTATGTGTGCTGCACTGTCTATACTGACATGTATGAACAGTGCACTGAGCTGTATGTGTGCTGCACAGTATTTCCTGATATGTAAACAAATGCATTCTGTATGCAGGCCAACTAATCAATTATGAAAATAGTTGACAACTGTTTTCATAATCAATGATGTCGATTAGTTGTTTCAGCTCTGCTTACGACCCTCTAGACATTATTGATTATCTACATAGGCTTATCGCGGCTGATCTCCGCTTTCTAGTGGAGATTAGAGTTACATTTATGGTTTAATCCGCTCTGTGACTTACGCTTAGCCCTATGGCTTATGTTTTGGGATCTTATTATACAGTATTTATAAAGCGCCAATAGTTCGCTCAGCGCTGTACATTACAAATCAACATTCTCAGCGATTGCAGTTGCCGTCTGTATCCTACTGTAATGCATGTTCCTATACTATTATGTATCACTTGATTCTCAATGGTAAACCTAATAAAACCGATTGAAACAGAAAAAGTCCCAATCTTCTTGCACTTACTTTGGCCAGCTGTAATACCTGGAAATTGCAAAAAAAAAACACACCTTCCCATTGAGGGCTGGTTCACACCAATGTGTTTTTTTTAGGGCTTTTTTGAAGAAACATACAGCAGTCCAATTAACATGGTTTCCTATGGGACACGTTCACATCTATGATTTTTTGAGCTCCTGATTTTTGGAAAGGGTCAGGGACTTAAATGCAAAATGTTGCATTTTTGGTTAATAGACTTCAATGGAAAATGCTGCAGAAACTTCACTTTTATGCGTTTGGCACGTATTTGATCCCTGGTGTGAACCAGGCCTGAGATGCATTGAAAACGCACAAAAACTACACACGTGTTGCGTTTTTGATGCGTTTTTAATCTGCCCAGCAACAAGTTGCCCCCCCAAGAAAAGCAAACGCAAACCGCATAAAAAAATGAGTCCAATACATGCGTGCAAAAATGCTAAACAGTGCGAAAAGCACTGCAAAAAAATGGACAAAATGCAAACTGCATTGGTGTGAACCAGACCTGATATGCATTGAAAACCCATCAAAAACGCACACATGTTGTGTTTTGATGTGGTTTTTTTTAGTCACATGACCATGAAAATGCACCCTAAACATGGTAAAATCATAGCAAAAACCCAGGTAAAGATCACAGCAAAATTGCAGGTAAAATCACAGCAAAATAGTGGGCAAAATCATGAGTAAAACTGCAGAAAAATCGAGTGTTCTTGTTGGCCATCATTACCATTTTTTCCCTATTGGTAAAATGCCGATAACACTATTTTCAGCCGATACATTTCGGCCGCTGGTATATCGGCGCAAAAAGTACCTGGAGAAACTGCATTATTCACTTCATGGCCTTTGAATTTGTAACATTTTCTACATACAGCCAGGTTATAGGTACACAAGTGGGTTCAGCCCCCAGTAAACGTGCAGGAGCAGGTACGGATATTCAGTGTCACCACTGATCACCAGAGCTTCCTCAGAGATGCAGATTCTAGGCAGTGTTTGGCCTTCAGCAGAAATGCCTGCCTGAAAAAATACCAGTGAATCTATGATAAAAACAAAATAAAGGGGACAAAGGCCTACTGTCTTGGTTTACTGGATAAATACAAATACAATACAATACTCACAAAAGCCAAGATGTAAAAGCGTTGTGCAAAACCCAGGAGCCAGAAGTGGTAACACTCAGGATTCTCATGGTGACAAACTAATGCCGATGCGTTTCGAGGGACATGCCCCCCTCTTCAGAGCACAGTGCATTTGTATGTATCCAATAAATGAACATGGTACTACACTAGGCCTTTGTGCCCTTTGTTTTGTCTGTGTCTTTTAATATTCCCCCATCTCGTGGCAGCAGTGGCGGAAAGTTCTTGGCCTGATGATATCTTCTCATATTACATATTCAGCTTCTCAAGTACCCCTGAGCGCTACGTATCAAAGTGTGAATTTACTTGTGACTCTGTGGTGTGCCCAAGTCATAGCTCCCAAAGTGTCTCCCACAACAATAATACATACGGATTGGAAAAATGGGAAATATCAAGACAAAATGCAAAAAGGACAGAACAAAAGAATGTGTAATGGTCAGAGTACCTACCTAACAGCAGCACGTTTGTCTAGGGCAGGTTAAGAACATCGGAGACAGAAGACTTTTCTGTAATAACTCTCGGTTCTCTCTCTTTCCTATTTATATAGCTCCCAGACCTAACAATTCATACCAGTCTGCTTCAGTTAAAAGCGCACTGTATTATCCACTATAAACATTATTATGCTCAGACCTCCAAAGACATTCAAAACAACTGTATGAGTGCATACTAGATACAGTATATTCACCAACGTCTGACATCTTATAGCTTTTATGAGCTCCAGCTCCAAGATCTGATTGCCAGAGTCCCTCTAAAGTAAATATGGAGTCTGACTCCAGAATCTCATTCCTGCTTCAAGGGCTGTAACATAAAACTGAGGAGCATTTATAAGTCATTAGTGGTAAAAAGACTATGGTACAGAGGTCTAATCATGCAGTACTTGAGAGGTATAGTATATGAAGTTGTTGGATATTTCAACAGAAAGACATCTAGCCCAAAATGTAAAGTAACACTTTATTATAAAAGTAACTTTTTTTGAAAACAAAACCATAAAGGGTCCATACGCACAGGGTTTAAAATAAAATGGCAGTTTGTTTGGCAAAAAAAAAGCATAATTGGCAAAAGTGTTTTTGTACAAGCGTTTAGTGATTTGTTTTCTGCCAGAACACTGCTTGCAAAAATGCAAGACAGAAGGGTTTTCTGCTTTCAAACACTGAGCTTAAAGCGGAGTTCCAGTCGTTTTTGTGTTAAATAAAAGTCAGCAGCTACACAAACTGTAGCTGCTGACTTTTAATAAACACACTTACCTGTCCCAGGCTCCAGTGATGTGCTCACCCGCACCGTCCCTTCTCTCCAAGGCATCGGCATCTCAACTGTGGGTACCAGGCTGTGACAGCTTGCAGCTTCAAAGCTGGGTGCCCACTGCGCATGCACGAGTTGTGCTGCGCATCCTGATTGGTCCGGCAGTCTTCTGGGACCTGTGAAAGTTCCCAGGAGACGGTGGGAGGATGGAGGAGGCTGAACTTCCGGCTCACTTCGCTGCGGCTCACTTCGCTAGAAGTGGGAGCAGGTACCTGTCAAAACCAGGTACCCGCTCTCCCCTTCCCCCAAAAAGGTGCCAAATATGGCAGTGGGAGGGGGGAGGAGGCAAACAAGCGGAGCTTACACTTTAGTGTGGAACTCTGCTTTAAAGTGATTCTAAAGACTTTTTTTTTTTTTTCTTTAAACAAACATATTTTATACTTATCTGCAGTGGTTTTGCACAAAGCAGCCTAGACCCTCCTCTCCTTGGGTCCCCTGCTGGCACTCCTGGCCCCTTCATCCTGTCGGGTGACCCCACAGCAAATAGATTGCTATGGGGGCACCCGCTGCTCCGTGTGTCCATTCACACATTGAGCTGCAGCTCGGCCCCGCCCCCTCTCTCTTCTCATTGGCTCACTGGCTGCAATTGGAAGCAGTGGAAACCAATGGCTCCTGCTGCTTTCTCAGCCAATGAGGAGAGGGAGTCCCGGGATAGTCGAGACTCCAGTGCACATCACTGGATCAAGAGGGGGCTTAGGTGAGTATTAGGGGGTGCTGTGGGGATGCTGCACAGAGAAGGCTTTTTACCTTCATGCATAGAATGCATGAAGGTAAAAAAAACCTTCAGCCTTTAGAACCACTTAAAATATGCCTCTAAACATCCCAATGTGTATGGAGAGATAGGTTAATATTAGATGCTTCTACAGACAGAAAGCCAAACTCCTCCAGAAGCAGCGATATTTTAAGCCAGTGTGCATGGACCCTAAAAATCTGCGGTAAACATATACTGTCTAATATAATACTTTCTTTATTACATTTTTGGAAGATTATGACTTTTAAATTCTATAGAATACAGTCTTTCATTCACTACAATTTGCTGCGTTATACTGCTCTCCAGGTAATCTGATAGCAAGAAGTGAATTAGTCTTACATTAGGTGCCTTTGTGATCGTGATTGTGAGGTTGTCTTGCTTAGCCCGGCGACAAGTAATTGCCTTGCCTTGTTTCTCAGCGTTCCGTTTGTCTTCTTCAATTTCCTGTCAAGAAAATCTTGTTATCTAGACATGCACTATACTACTGGAAAATGCAGTTACACATCATCCAGATGGATGCCAGCAAATACATTTACTCCAAAATCATAAATCAGGTGAATATTCCCTGTTTAGTATTTGTTTTTAAAATAAAAACTAAGAAGCCAAACTGTTGATGTATTATATGTTTCAAAGTGCACATCAAGTCTTTAGCCAGGAGCGCCACGCATGCACACAAGTCCCACACAGTGGATGTGCTGCTCTCATCTATTCTCAAGGCATGCAGGGAGTGTACTGGAGGGAGGAGAGTCAGTAATGTCACGACCCCGCCTCCTGAGCTCTGGCCCTTGGACACGGCCATGGACAGGAGACATTCACAGGGCTGTGACAGGGACGGGGACAAAGTGAGGTACAGATAATGTGATTTTAATTTTTACAAATTTTTTTAAAAAAAAAGTGCATTTATTTTATTATTAATGAGGATGGGATTTACAACCGCTTTAAAGATGATACAACAGAAGCAAATTTGTTAGCCAACAGAGCAGATAAAACGTCTGACTCCTATATTTATCCCTTACCCACAGTTGGTTAGTGGAACTAGTTAACTCATCTACAAACATGTCAAAATGTTTGGTGGTATAAGTGGGCACTATTGTAAAAATTATGGAGCAGTTATTTGTACACAAAATGCATCTAGTTAACCACTTAAGCTCTGGAAGCTTTTGCTCCCTTTATGAGAAGGCCAATTTTTTTGCTATTGCGCCACTTTAACTGGCAATTACATGGTTATGCAACGCCGTACCTATATGAAATGTATCTCTTTTTTTTCACACAAATAGAGCTTTCTTTTGGTGGTATTTGATCACCACTGGGTTTTTTATTTTTTATTATATAAACGAAAAAAGACAAAAAAAGTGAAAAATATACATTTTTTTTTACTTTCTGCTATAAGGCATATCCAACAAAAAAATAAAAATCAAATTTCATCATAAATTCAGGCCAAAATGTATTCTGTTACATGTCTTTGGTTAAAAAACAAAATCCCAGTTTGTACAGTCAGGTCCATAAATATTGGGACATCGACACAATTCTAACATTTTTGGCTCTATACACCACCACAATGGATTTGAAATTAAATGAACAAGATGTGTTTTAACTGCAGACTGTCAGCTTTAATTTGAGGGTATTTACACCCAAATCAGGTGAACGGTGTAGGAATTACAACAGTTTGCATATGTGCCTCCCACTTGTTAAGGGACCAAACGTAATGGGACAATTGGCTTCTCAGCTGTTTCATGGCCAGGTGTGTGTTATTCCCTCATTCCCTCAAATTAAAGCTGACAGTCTGCAGTTAAAGCACATTGTTTGTTTCATTTCAAATCCATTGTGGTGGTGTATAGAGCCAAAAATGTGAGAATTGTGTCCATGTCCCAATATTTATGGACCTGACTGTATATATTGATTGGTTTGTGTGAAAGCTATAGCATTAATTTTTTTTGTATACTAGTAATAGCAGTGATTAGCAACTGTAATGTGTGGCGGGAAATCTCACACTAACCAAACGCTGGGTAGGAACTGACATCTCCAATGACACTAGTACAGTGATCAGTGATAATACTATACACTGTCACTGTACTAATGACACTGGCTGGGAAGAGGCAATCAAAGGGTTAACTGTGTGCCTGACAAAGTGTGATGTGTACTGCTTTTACTAAGTGATGTGCTTGTTTTTCCTCCCTGCTTTGCAGAGCCCTTAAACACAGGCCAACTTGTGCTGTAACAGATGACAGCACAGATGGGGTGGCCCCCCTACCAGGAAATGCCGAATCACATACATATACGTGCTCCGGCGCAGAGAGACCGTCTTGTTGCAGTAAATGTGTATGCAGCGGCTGGCAACTGGTTAAAGCTGACTACCATGCAAATCACAAACACCTTTCAGCTTCCCCTTAGCAAAAGATGTCATCGTAGGTCTGAAATCTTTTTCTCCTTTTCGGCAGCCAATAGAGGGAGCATGTCTGGGCATCCTATATGTCTTCCAGAGCATACAGGCAACCAGCCAATTTACAGAATGAGAAAGGACACCTGCTGCAGACTGAAAGGTGAAGCAGAGTTTGGTCAAGATGGTTGGTGCTGTGGATGGAGATAGAGTAAATCAGACAACCACTCACCCTTGGGGCCCACCTCCTACAGTACATGCAGTGCTGACTTGTGAAATTGGTAGTGAGGTGACCAGTCACCCTGCTCCTCAGAAGCAGGCAGTGGCAACTGGTCTTTTTGAAAGTAAGAGTGTCCTTTCTGGCACCAGGGTGACTTAGGATGAAGATTGCACAGCACTGGTACGGAAAAGAACAGCAGCAAGCATGAAATGCTGCAAGGTGTGCACTATTCTGCTTGAGTGTTAGGTTTTCTTTGTGCCTGGAGTTCAGCTTTAAGAAAAACATTTTCTAGAGTCTGATTTTATCAAATAGAATAAGAAATTCTAATGTAGAGTCAGCTGTATCCAGAATAAAAGGCCTGCTTGTCAAATACTGGACACTGGAAGCAACATTCTGATTGCGTCTATTGTAATGGAGTTGGCCTGGCTGGTTGCTTTATAGAGCAAAGCACCACACAGTATTAGGATAACTGCCCACAATTGCTGTAATTATTGTGGCAGCAAGATGCTGTCATTTACCAAATACAGTATGTTGACAGGAAACACATGACATACCTGTTTTTATGCCATATAACTAATGATTATTGGATTCCTAAAAATATAAGACTCCAGAAATACTTTTCACAGATTTGATAACTTACTTCATATCGGCGGACAAGGGCTTCGTTCTTCTTTTTTAAAGCTTTTATCTTTTTATCCAATTCAGCATCCTTCAGCTCTTTTTTTCTGAATTCACCATCTGATACTGCGACCTGATAAAAAAAAAGAAATATGGTAATACATAAACAGCAGCTAAACAGACAAGTACTAAGGCTGGCTTCACACATAAGATCACGGCAAGTCATCAAAACAACTATGTTGGCATAGAAAAGAAAAAATAAGATCCACAGCATGTACTGGTGAGCATGCGACACATCCGTAAGTATGTAGAATCCTGAAGATTATTCTTCAAGAGAACAAAGATCTAAGTCTGAAGGCAGGTGCCAAAATGGTTAACTATATTTTGTTACTACTTCCTTGTGGTGTGCCTCCTCTGGGAGGAGTCACTTCCTGTTTTGAGGGGAGTGATAAATACAGGAGATCCAGCTTTGTGGTCTGGAAGTCGAGTCTGACCATACACCGTGAGATGTGATCTTTTTTAAAAATATATATTTTTTAAATATATTCTTCAGATTTTCTTTAACATATAAAAAAGTATTTAACATATTTTTACATATATTTGTAAATGCATTCCAAAAATCCAAAAATGTAGAATTGTATTTTTAAAAATATTTTTCATATATATTGTAATAAAAACACATTTCAACATGCAGTGTGTGTATATATATATATATATATATATATATATATATATATATATGTTCAATATGGCCAAAATTGTAGCATTTCAAATATATTTTTCTTCCATATGGGAAAGCAGGAAGTAAGACTATATACAGTATGTGATGAGCAAATGTGGACTTCTAACACATATATACAAAATTATAAACTACACATTCAACACACTGACAAAGTTTGTAAAATCTTTTCACAACCTTTCCAAAAGCTCAGTGGGCTTGGCCTGGATGTTTACGAGTGACATATAATTCTGACTATACCTTTTACATATGTTAAGCACAGAAGTGTAAAAGAGAAGTCGGGAGCTAAAAAAAGAGGTATGCTGATCTGTATGTGTGCACTGATGTTAGAACTAGCATGAACTAACTTACATGACATAATACCTTAGAAAAAGTATGGTGGCTTTGTTTTCTCTTCTTCATTGCTAGGTGCAGTGTACATGGACATTCACAGTATTCAGTCAAATCGAGCTCTATGCCTAGTACACGCGATGAGAAAATCAGACGAAATATACTGCTTTCGGAGTGATCGTTTGATAATCTGATCGTTATTACACAGCTTTTGAGAGCTGATCATGACAGTTCATTCAAAATTATCAGAAGGAACAAGCACAATTTTTTTGTATGATATCAGAATGACTATTTGTTTAATCAGTACAGTAATCGTTCATAACATTAAAAAAATAAAAATAAAAATTGGGTGAGCAAGACAGTGCATGTGTGCAAACGAAAGAATACATTACAATACAAAACATGGCATCACCTCCAAAGTTGTATTCTGTCTTACAACAATTTTCGCAATACTAGTAACCTATTAATTTTCGATATGAGACTAGCATGCAAAAAAAAAAAAAAATAATAATGGACGATCATTCATCCGATATTCTCATCATGTGTACGAGGCTTTACACAAATTTCTGGCTCCAAATAAGGCAAAAACTCAAACTACAGCACACTTTGTAAAAATTTTTTAAGGAAAGAAAAAACTGATTGCACCGTGTACCATTGCAACAACAGAAACAGTGAAACTGCAAATGTTTAGTCTAATATCTGTCTAAACTTCCCAAAATGTTTTTCATCAGCTGTCTCCAAGATTTAAGATGGTGTGGAAGATGTATCCTAAAAGATTCTGCAGCAGCTATAGTATGTAAAAATGAAAGACTCCAATTGTACTTGTGTTTTCTAAATATTAAAAGGATAAGTTCACCCATTTTTAGGGTGGAACATGTAACATGTTCCCACTCCTGCAGTTGCTTGGAGATCGGCTGCCTCTGTGTGACAGCAGTATGGGGAGAAGCTTCCCGCATCAGCTGTCACTTTTTGAAAAGAGTGTGGCTGTGCGGGCTCCGCCCACACGGCCACATCATTCATTCACAGAATTCAGTGAATGAATGAACTGCAAGTGTTGGCATCCTGCAGCTGGTGGCTTGTAGTTCTCAATGAACTATCATGGCGCTGTTGAGCGCTCTAGTAATTCATTGATACTTCCCGTCAGTGTGAAACTGCCTATCCGTATAGGCGGACAACTTACACTGACAGCTTGCAGGAGGCCTTCATGGCACCAGTGATCAGTAGACCATTGTGCAATGCTTTCCAGGCAAAAAAAAGTAAATGCACCTTTTTTTAATTAAAAGGTGAACTTATCCTTTAACCACTTGCCTACCGAGTACTTTTACCCCCTTCCTGTCCAAGGCAATTTTCAGCTTTCAGTGCTATTGCACTTTGAATGACAGTTGCGCGGTCAAGCAATACTGTACCCAAACAAAATTTTTATCTTTTTTTGAGACATATAGAGCTTTCTTTTGGTGGTATTTAATCACCACTGGGTTTTTTTATTTTGCTAAACAAACTAAAAAAGACTGAAAATTTTGAAAAAAAAAGTTTTAGTTTGTTATAAAATTTTGTAAATAATTAAGTAATTTTTCTCCTTCACTGATGTGCACTAATGAGGCGGCAGTGATGGCCACTGATAGGAAGCATTGATAGGTGGCATTGATGGGCATGGACAGGCATCACTGATCGGCACAGAAAGGCAGCACACATATATGGCACCGATAGGTGGCACTGACTGGCACTAATTGGTGGCACTGACTGGAACCGATAGGTGCTACTGAAAGGCAGCTCTGATATGTGGCATTGATGTGCCCTGGTAGGCACTGATATGTGGCATTGATGTTTACTGATGGGCACTGGTATGTGGCATTCATGGGCACTGACAGGTGACACTGATGAGGCTACACTGATCATCAGGGCACCAATCATCAGTGTAGATGTCTGCTCTGAGTAATGCCGATTACCGGCTCTCCTCACGTGCTGTCAGCGGAAGGAGAGAACTGCCGATAACCGGCATTTCCTATTTACATGTGATCAGCTGTGATTGGACACAGCTGATCATGACAGAGTCAACGTCATCAGCTCTTTGCAGTGATCCGCTGTGTCCCAGGGACTCAGCGGACCGCTAATCACTGCCGAGGGCACGAACGTACAGTTAGAGTGGGAGGATGTCATATGGCGTCCTCCCAGAACGAGAGAACCCGCCGCCCTCCCGTCATTACCTTATATGGCGGGCGGGAGGCGGTTAAAGAGGAGCTAATCTATCAATCTATATGTACCCCAGCAGGGGCCGCTTCATAATGCTTGTCCCCAATGGTTGCCCTGACCTTGCAAGCGTCCTGACACCTCTAGGTTCAGACATATTTCAACAGTTATAAGATAAAGCAAGAGAGACAATTTTTTGCTAACAACTTTATATTACTCTTGTTCAAAAGACTAGACCACAAGATTAATGGGTTTAGGATATACAACCCCAGTTAAAGCATAAAAATAGAACAAGGAATAATCAACTAACAATGTTTAATAAATTACAGTCATGAGTAGTAAGCTTCAACTATTAAACTGTAACACCAGCAGTAAGAGGTAGAAGAAAAGGCTTGTTGACTTATCCAGCTCCTCTTAGATCACTGGCGCAGCAATAGTGGATGCAAAGAATTATGTAAATCTATACTATGGCATAAATAGATACAAGTATCCCAATTTGAATAATAATGGCCTTAGAAGAGAGTAGGTTTCTTTCACTAGAGATTGCAACTTGAGTCCTGTGATGCTTAAAGTTCCTGATATGGTGGTGTCCGTTGACTTCTGCTAGTAATGGTTGGGCCTATAAACAGTAGTGAATACTGGTAATTCAATGAAGTTAAACAGATAGGCTGTGGTACTACTCAAAGCAAAAATCTCCTGGTACTTTAGTGTAAAGGTATCTGCAAGCAGTGTCTCTAGGGTGATGACAGAAAGAGGTTGGGCATCTGCTCGCTCACCAATCCCATGTATAGCAAGGCCTCCTAGGAACAAGAATTCTTGCACAGACTCTTGGTAGTTTGCAGGTATTTGCAGAGTTGCCACCTGACAGCCTGTCAGTGCAGGTAGCAGAGATGTCTGTGTGATGACTTGATAGTGACATTTCCAATACAGAAAAGCTGATGTGATCCTAGTGTGGCAATTGCCATCACTGCTGTGTTGAACTGGTGTCCCACAGCAGTACGCCAACAATTTATCTCTGGAAAAGTCTCGCTGTGTTCAGCTCTGAATCCCCCACCAAAAGAGAGCGAACCAGTCCCTTGCTGTAGACTATATCTGCCCTCCAAGTATCCCTCTCGTTTGCAAGCTCTCTGGTAGTTGTAGTTCAATCTGCACTCAGGAATACAGTATTTATTGGCTATAGGACTACAGGTCCCAAGATCCTCTGCTTTCAGAAGAGCTGGATCAGCTCTCCTAACAGGAAGTAATGTAGCAATTCCAGTACTGGGCACTAGGGGCAAAAGGATTAATCAGAGTTTCATCTGTAAGCCCCGGTTCACACTGGATCTGACTTTGAAATCGTACAATTTTACTTGTCTCACGATATCAAATCGGAAGCCAGTGCGATGTCAGGTGCGACTTGCTAGACATCTGTGTAACTTCATGCACAGATGTCTATGCAATTCACACCCAAAATAGTCATAAGTAGTGGAAGAACTTAAAACGGTTCCATTGCCAATCACTGGAAGCGATTTGTCATGCGATCTGAATGGCCAAATCACATGACAATTCGCATCAGTGTGAACCAGGGATAAATGTCCCTGAAAGGTATAATGATAAAGCTAGCACCTTGCTACATAGACTATGTAAACCCAACATGTCGTGTTCCTGATATGTGCCTGCTGTACCAAGTACTTGTTTGAAAAGGTATCCTGTTCTCTTTGTAGTGCTTCCTTCATGTGAAATCCCTGGTGTTCCGGCCAGTCCCTCTGCTTTCCTATTAATAACTGACCACACTAAGTGTGAGAATACACCATGGTCAGTTCTCTAGCAGTGCTGGGAACTCCGTGTGCTCTCCTCCAACGATCACACTTGTTCTGACAGGCTCCCCCACACAACCTTTCACTGGTAAGTTTAAATATGCTGCTGTTTCTCCTCCCCAGCTCTTATGCAGCTGAGAACAGAGGGAATGTGATCATTTAT